ATAACTCCTTAAACTCTCAAACCAAACACGTGGTGCCTATTTTAAACCATATATAGTCTTGTTTAACTTGCAAACTATTTTATCATCACCAAACTCAAAACCAGGAGGCTAAGTCATTTAGACTTCTTCTTCAAGAACTCCATTCAGAAAGGCATTATTAATGCCAACTTGTCTAAGCTGCCACCCCTTCAATAAAGCCATTGTCAAAATGACACGAACAGTTACTGGTTTAACAACATGACTAAAAACCTCATGAAAATCAATACCTGGTTGCTGAAGAAAACATTTCTCTGCTAATCTTGCTTAATAACGAGCAATTGAGCCATTTGCATTTCTCTTTGAATAACCATTTACAATTTACTGTCTTTCTATCATCTGGTAATGACACTAGAGACCAAGTTTTATTTTTTTATCAAAGCCTCATACTCATCCTGAACAGCAGCCTTCCAATGTGGACTAGCCAATGCTTGTTTGATGCTATGTAGTTCTTCATCAATCCAAGTAGTAGCCTGAAAGATTTTTGGTTTTGAAATACCACTCTTACTCCTCGTTGTCATTGGGTGAGTATTTAATGTAGAGCTACAATAAATTCCCACTACCGTTTGTAGTAAAGTTATCTCAGTTGGAATATCAGTAGAACTGGACACTTTTTGAACAGCTCATTGATTGCTTGTTCCATGAACAAGTTGGCCACCAACATCTTCCTCATTTTGCACACTGTTTGCAGGTGACAAATTATTTCCAAGAGTGATTCTATAATCTCTTCTATTGACAGGTACAATTGAGTCATCACACCCTTGCTGAGTTTGAACTCTTGGTACAAAAACAATAGGCAACTCCCAAGTTGAAACATGTGAATCTATATGCTCTTGATTTGTCAACTTTCATATTTCATAAGGAAATTTGTTTTCATAAAAAATAACATGTCTCGAAACAAACATCCTCTCATCATCATCTATACACTGATATCCTTTGTGTGATGGACTGCATCCAAGAAAAACACACTGCTTGGATCGATATTCAAGTTTGTGATGATTGAACGGTCTCATCGAAGGAAAACACGCACAACCAAACAACCTTAATATTGAGTAATCAGGAAGTTGTTGATGCAATACTTCAAAATGTGACTTTCCATGTAACACTCCTGTAGGCAGTTGGTTTATAAGATACACAACTAAGATGGACGCATAACTCCATAACTTCAAAGGCAAGGAAGCTTGAGACAACAATGCCAGACCCATTTCAACCACATGATGATGCTTTCGTTCATCTTTGCCATTTTGTTCAGATGTGCTTGGACAAGAGGGTCGATGCTGAACTCCATTAATTAGAAACCATCCTTTTAGAGCCTCATATTCTCCACCACCATCACTCTATAATATTTTAATATTGACTCCAAATTGAACCTCGATAAGTTTGTAAAAGTTTTACAAATATTGCATAACTTCTAACTTTCTTTTAATCAAGTAAAACCATATAATTCTGCTATACACATCGATAAAGGACACATAGTAGGCAAATCCATCACTATAAAAAGTAGGCGTTGGTCCCTATACATCAGAAACAACTAAATGAAAAGGGGCAGTGTATTCAGTAACTGAATTAGAAAATGGCAGCTTGTGAGCTTTACTCTGTAAACAAGCATTGCAAACAGAAGACAAAGACCTTTCATTAGAAGCAACATTACATGATTTCATTACTGTCTTTACCATACTAACAACTGAATGCCCTAATCTCTTATGCCATAAATCTAACAGACCACAAGACTTTGACAAATTATTTAGTTGCATCTTCTTCATATTAGGTGATAGAAGCTGATATAGACCTTCATCTGTGAGCTTCCCGTTCAACAACACGCTCTGAGTCCATGCATCCTTCACAAAACATTCAAATGGATGTAATTCAATAAAGACATTATTATCCCGGGAAAACTAGGAAACATACAATAAGTTTTTCTTAATGTCAGACACATGCAAGACATTTTGCAGAACTATCTGCTTCGTTTTAGATGGCAAGTAGCTTTGGCTAACATGGGAGATTTTAACGCCTTCCCCATTTCCCATATGAAGGCAATGATTACCTGTATAAGTCATACCAGTATTAAGTAGAGACACATTATTTACAACATGATGTGTTGCCCCTGTATCTGGATACTACACTGGATCAGCACTACCAATTGACATAACAGGACGAGGCGAATGAGTAGTTGAAACAAAGGCAACTGAAGGATTCACAAATCCTTGTGAACTTTTAACTGAATCCAAGCCACCACATGCTTGCATTGGAGAGTACCATGGAACCCCCTGATATAACGATCCTGGACTAGGCATCATGGAATGAGGATTAGAATAATTGAATCCAAAAGGAGAAGAAAAAGAGGCACTCATCGAGGGAAAATGAGCACTCATTGCATGGGTGAATGCATGAGCATTGGAAGGTAACTGCTGATTTCCTGCAGAAACTTGTGATGACCTCCACCTTTACTACTTCGATTGTCAATGAAAACACCTGTGAAATTCCTATCAAATTGATGATAGTATTTTTGCACCGTATGACCATACTTGCCATAGAGCTGATATTTAGGACGATTTGAATTCTTATACCGACCTCGACCATGTCCACGATAACCATAACTAGATTGACCTCGCATAGCATTATCTTGCTTTGCAATAACAGTGGTCTTAGAAAACTCAGAATCATGCACCTTAGTATCACCTGTAGACCTAGAAACCAAGTTGGCTGAAATTCCTTCAGTGAGAAACACCTTATGTCGTGCTTCATAATCAAGCAACATTTCAGTGAGCACATCTAAGGACAAACTATCTCGGGAAACAATTGTAATAACCGATTCAAACTCAATGGATAAACCTGCAAGGATTACACTGACTTGCTCATGTTCAGTGATCAGACTGCTTGCAGCACTTAACATATCACATATGGACTTGACCTTGGCAAGAAATTCATTCACCGACTGGCCAGCTTTGCGTTGAGAGTGAAGACTATGCCGAAGAGACGACACCTTGGCACTTGATCGAGCACCAAACAAGTATGAAATAATAGTCCAAATAGTATTAGCAGAAGTGAGTCCTATGAGATGTGGTAATACTTTAGTGCTGACAGTAGTAAGCAACCATGATGCTAACAACTTATCTTGTTATTGATAAATTATGAACGTCGGATTGCCCTCAACATGACCGAACTCCGTCGTTATAACCGTCGCAGGAGGCCCACTTTATCTGAAATAAACTGAAGTAATCCATAACCATCAATAATGAGAGATACCTGATGCTTCCATAGTAAATAAGTATTTTCAGAAAGCTTGACCACATCCTGTTTGGGAATATGCTGAACAGAGGAGATCTCCATCATACACAACCACGAGCAGCAGCAGACTAGCAATGATTGAGCTCCCAATCCTGGTGAATGATACCATGTTAAAGGATCAAAGTAACTCAATGACTAAAAAACACTCAATGAATAAAGAAAACCATATACTCATTCCTTCATACATTTGTAAAAGCCCACCATTACAGTAATAGCTCAAGCCTCTTATATACACAAAGAAGAGAGGAAATTATAAAGGCGGAAATGACGTTAGAGGGAAAGACCGTTAGAGGAGAGAGAGAAGTTGGTTAAATCCAAACAACTCTAACCACCTCATGTACTTCACACATGCACGAGATACATGAGATACATACATCACATACACTAACAACCGGATTGATCCCCATGTTGGTCAATCTTTTCTTCATATGTGTGTTCCAGTAGTTCTTGATCTCATTGACTTCTTTTTGGTAAATGAGTTGCAACAGCCGACCGCCTATAGACACAAATACATTGAAGTAATTTAATGACTCCATGTTAGATAAGGATACAGAATCACTTATTTCCGAGAAGGGCGTGGAGTTGAATGATGGTTTGTTCTTCATGTAGACTGAACTTTCCCCTTCTGATATCGGGTCTCAAGTAGTTAATCCACCTGAGTCTGCAACTCTTGCCACATCTTTGAAGCCCTAAGGTAAAAAAACAGTAATTAAAAAGCGTGATTTCTGATCGAAAATGGAGTATATATGTATATATTATGATTCTCACCAGCTTTTGCAGGCAGAGCGGGTCAGCTTCCATGGCCATATCGTTGAAATGAAAGCCAAGAGCTTTCCATCTTCTTCGGGAGTCCATGGCCCCATGTTCTTGCTATAGAACAAGTCGAAAGAAAACCAAACACACAGTTCTTGTCGTAAACGATTGTTGAACACTCGAAGAATAAAATATGAACGCAATAATGTACTAAATGAGCACCGCACCATTCACACAGAAACTAGCAGTAGGTGAAATGATCGATCTTTTGACATTCCTACTTCGGCTACTCTCTGGAAACACTAGGTGTGATGATCGAGAAGAATGAAGATAAGGAATGTTGAAAATTAACTCCTCTCAAAACCAATGTATGTTAAAATGGTCCTAATAGATTTAATATATAGTGTGGGGATAAGCTCAACAATCTTTACCATTTACTCCATTTCATACAATAGAAATAATTATAAATATACCATTTACTCCGTTCCCTGAATGGGGATGGAATTGAATATTGTGAAGAAAAGGTGACGAATTTCGGTGAACCATGATCGGAAATAGGTCAGCTTTTTGGTAAATGAGTTGCGATAGCAGGACAATTTGTTGATGATAATAATTGTATGATTTTATGGCTTCTTTTAGGTGGACTGAAAATCTAAATATACTTAAATATTGTCTATAACCAACCTTTTTAATAAAATTAAACACCTTTGACAATTAACAATTGATAATAAAATTATATAAATCCAACAACTTTGATTAAATCCTCATTAATATTAGCTCTGAAGTTTAATTACAGGGTAATTCCTCTTCTCGTTAAAAAAAAAAACAATTCTACTTATCACTGAAATCAAAAGTTTTAACACTTCAATTATATGTTGATTAACATTAGGTCAAATTAACCACATGATTATTGTCCTATTCAGTCTTCATTGTAGCCATACTCGACTAGTTAACTTAATAAATTAAGGATATTATTCCAGTAATTCTTGTATTCCTCAAAACTACTACTGCTACTATCACCGCCATAGTTTGTTTCCTTCAAGTTTTCACCAGTCGCCGCCATTGACGGATCCTGCTGATGATCATTGCAAGAATCCCAAACCATTATATCCGGGTAATTATTACCTTCCATATTCATGTTTTCTTCCTTGTGTAGATCTTGATGAGGCCATGCAGCCATTTCGTTCAATCCCATGTTGTTGTCTAATAATTTATCCTTGTTTTCCCGATTACTTCCACTACAGTATTCAATCCCATGGTCGTTGATTAATCCGTTCGGTAACATGTTTTCCATGGAATTCAGAGTCGACGCCGGAGACTGGAGGTTGTCGGTGTTGAACGTGAACAATCCGGTGACGACGCCTTGCCAAGCTTTGAGAACATCAAGGCATTGTGACCTAGTTGTTGGCGGAGCCATAGCAGCACTGTTAATGAGCTGTGGAACCGAGGAGGAGGAAGAGGACGAGCCAAGGGCTGTCTGCAGATTTTGGGGAGGATTTGAAACGAGCTTCGCCTCTCGAACCAACCTAGCTTCGGCTTCTAACCGGGCACTCTCCCATTGAGCTATGTGGCTGAGGTTAGCTGCATCCTTGGGGTTGCCGGTTGCGGACCCGAGGGCATCGGTTTTAGGCTTGTGGGTGACCGGATCGATCCCCATCTTGTTCAGTCTTTTCTTCAGATGTGTGTTCCAGTAGTTCTTGATCTCATTGTCTGTTCTTTTTGGTAAATGAGTTGCAATTACCGACCACCTATAGACACACATACATACATACATACATATATATATATATATATTGAAATCAATTTAAGTAATTTAATAATTTTTGTCCAATGAATTAGATAAGGATAGAGAATCACTTGTTTCCGAGAAGGGCATGGAGTTGAATGATTGTTTGTTCTTCATGTAGACTGAACTTTCCTCTCTTGATATCGGGTCTCAAGTAGTTAATCCACCTGAGTCTGCAACTCTTACCACATCTTTGAAGCCCTTTATTGCATCAAAAGCAAAGGTAAAAAGAAATGATCGAAATGGAAAATAAATAATATAAATTATCAATGATTCTCACCAGCTTTTGCAGGCAAAGCGCGCCACCTTCCATGGCCATGTTGTTCGATGAAAGCCAAGAGCTTTTGATCTTCTTCGGGAGTCCATGGCCCTTTCTTCATCCCCACCTTATCGCAACATGGAGACTGTCCCATGTTCTTGGTATAGAAAAAAAAAAAAACCCAAAAAGTTTATGTTCCTTGGAAACGAGACAGTGAAAGAGAGAGTTGAAAGCAAGGGCAAAAACAATGTCGGAAATGATTGTTAACTACTTGAAGTAGAAAATATGAATGCAATATATAGGCGATGCTGCAATAGTGTAGCGAATATGGTGATAGTCCATTTGACCGTTTTACCCTTTATTTTTAAATAAATTTGTTTGATTATAATCGTATACGATATTTAGTTGTCAAGCCAAAATATTTCGAGTTATAATTATAATTATTTTTTTATTAGTCAGAGAGGTAGTATACGTATGAAATTTATAATTATTTGACGATAAATTTTCTTTTTTATAGGATGTGCTTAAATCAATGATCTTTGGATATAATAACAATTAATAGTTTTGGTATAATCACCAGTATCCGATCTATTGAAAGATTAATTTGGATCGAGTACTACAGAGGTAAAGGAGACTCTCCCAACCCAATTTATTTTATTCGCAATCGTCAGAATTCGAATTTTTTATCTTACTTAAGAGATCCAGTGTCTCATTCCATTAGACCAATCGATTCTCGATAAATATGAACATGTTTTTATATAGTCTAAATTGTGACTATATTAAAAATGCACAAACAACAAAGAAGGAAAGCAATTAACCTAGAGGTCATAGAAAGATCCAGAGAGTTACAGAAATACAATTACATCTGCGACGTACTGTCGACTGCAATGTGGTATGCAGTAAATAACTAAATGCATAGACAAATTTTCATAGTGTGTGTGTGTTTTATTATTCTCGAATATATAACAATTTGATATAATTTTATAAAATTAAGTAGATACATTCGTTAAAAGCAAAAGGGTGACAGATATAAATAATTGTACTGACTCTGTAATTCATAGATTTGTGGCATCGTAGAGCCTCTTGGTTTTCATTAATAATTAGCATTAAATTGCCTGCCCTAGAGTCTCAATTACCGACGGAAGTTATTCAGTATAACAAACGGTATTAATACCTTTCTAGACAATAATGCCAATAAAAATGTTAATTAATACTAATCAAGGTGATGTTTAAGGAAAATAATGGTAAATTTTGCTCTTGTAATAGACCTAATTATCGCCGGAACTTATTCAGTATAGCAAATGGTATTAATACCTTTCTAGACAATTAGGCATGTAAATGAATTGAACGAACACGAATGAAGGTGTGTTCATGTTCGTTCGTTTAACTTTAACTGAACAATCGAACGAACACGAACAACTAAACGAACGAAGTTTCTTGTTCGTGTTCGTTTATTAAAAAATTTAGCTTGTTTGTGTTCATTCATGTTCGTTCGTTCAAATGATAAACGAACATAAAACTAATTAGGTTTATATTTGAGAAGTTTTTTTCTTTCCAAATAATTTTAGGATTTATATTTTCTTTAATTGATTTGTGTATTTTTATTTGGATTTAAAATTAATTGAGTTTTAAATATTGATGGGTTTAAGGTTAAATTTATTAGGTCTTAATATTTCAAACAAGTCTAGAGATTGAACTAAATATAAACGAACGGACATAAACGAACATAAATGAATGAGCATAAACGAACGAGTTATCAAACGTTCACGAACGTAAATGAACAAACTAACCCTTTATTTGTATTCGTTCGTTTAATTAAACAAACATAAAATATTATTTATATTTGTTTGTTTAATAAATAAGTGAACATAAATGAACTTTCCGTTGAACGATCCATAAACAATTCATTGAACGATCCATAAATAATTCATTGAATGTTCGGTTCGTTTACAGACCTCTGTACGATATATGAAAACGTGATTTTAGTAAAATTTGAAAATTTGATAAAATTATCAAAAAGAATAAGAATATAGTATTCATAAAAAAATATTTGGAGAAATATGATTATTTTTTACTATACTAATTATAGTTGTTTACGGTTGATGATAATTTTGATAAAATTGTTATTTTTTTATTATGTAGAAGTGATTATAATGTGATATATGTTTAAAAGATTTTCAATAATTTTACGATAAATGCTTAAATATCATTATAGATGTCGTGCTCAAACTTGATACCTCTTAAAATAATAATTATTCTTTTAATTATTAAGATTGTTTGATTGGTGCGTAGTATATTATTTAGAGATCATGAGTTCAAGTATATACTAAATTAGAGTTTATATATAATTTCAAGTTTTTAATTTTTTAAAAAGAATTAAATTCTATAAATTATTTTAACAAGATCCGCCAGTAAATGAAACTTTGGTTCATTACATTGCATTAAGATCAAAATATATAGGAATCATATGGTGAAGGGTTCACCAAATCGAGTACACTATAAGTCAAAGCATCCGAAGAAGTTTGATCAATGTTTTCATAATTTCCAACCCTAAATGAATCGTCGAACCATGCATCGATGTCGCTATCCATCAATGTTTCCTCGAATTCCTGCAACGGCTGGTTCGATTTCTCGACGCATTTCGACGAATCAAGCCCCATCTCGCCGTACGCGTAGCTAGTGCCGGTGTGTCCGACGGAAGGGAAACTAAGGATCGAAGTCGGGGACTCTAGCTCCTGGCTGGGAAACGAAAACATGCCCGCAACTACGCTTTGCCATGCTGTGAGTGCGTCGAGGCACCTCGGTCTTACCCGAATCTGATCGAGCGTAAGGTGGTTTTTGTTCTTGTGGTGGATTGGATTCGGGTTTGGAGCAACGGCCTGTTTCGAGTCACGGACCAACCTAGCCTCGGCCTCTAGACGGGCACTCTCCCACTGAGCCATATGTCTTAGATCGGAACCGTTCTTGGTGGAACCAGACAGCGGTGCTGATGATTCCACGCGAGGCTTGTGAGTCATTGGATCGATACCTAGCTTCATCAGCCTTTTCTTGAGATGAGTGTTCCAGTGGTTCTTTATCTCGTTGTCTGTCCTTTTCGGGATGTGAGCTGCCATTGCCGACCACCTACATCATTGAATTCGGACAAAATAAAAACTCGTGTCGGGAACATGAACATCAATGAATTCGTACAAATTATAGACGAATTGTCAATAATAAATAATAAACCAAACATAATTACCTGTTTCCGAGAAGGGCATGGAGTTGAATGATGGTTTGTTCTTCTTGTAAACTAAATTTTCCTCTTTTGATATCAGGTCGTAGGTAATTAATCCACCTCAATCTACAGCTCTTCCCACATCGTTGGAGTCCTATATGCATAAACCAGATCATTTAACAAAAGTTCAATAATTTAATAATTATTTATCTACACTTTATCCGAATAATAATAAAATTTTAAAGAATTACCAGCTTTCTCAGGCAAGGCGCGCCAGTTACCATGGCCGTGTTTCTGAATGTAAGCCGTCAGTATTTCGTCTTCTTCAGCTGTCCATGGCCCTCTTTTCAAACCGGCCACCTCCTTATCACCGTTATTGGTAGACGATCGCCGCCGCATTTTGGCCGCAAAACGAAATAACAGGCTGCCTAAGAGTACGGAGGTTAGTGAGTGGATTTTGATTTTGAATGAGAGAATATGAAAAGAGAGGAGAATTGGTTGAGGGTAAAGAGTAATGGTGTTGGGTGGCGAATATATAGGCGGTGATAATCAACTGGAAATGCAATAATGACACAGTCGTGAATGAAAGTCTAAATAAATTAGTCCAACTACTTGGTGAACAACGACGACCCCACTTTAATATTTTCTCAAACCTCAACACATACGCCCACATTTGTTGATCATCAAAATTTTAGAAGATAATATTTATTTCAAATTTATTTAATTATTGACAATTCACGTACATTGTGTAGATTCAGTTGCTCGAATTTAAAATCTATAAGAAAAACAACACTCTCTTCAACCACTAAAATCAGTTTACGATAGCCTAAAACTCATTTTAAGTTTATCTTTGGTAAAAATAATTATGTTATAGTTTTAATGGACGACCTGTTTAAATATTGGAGCGGGGGCTTGTATCCCACCCAAGCTTTGTGTTTCATTGGATTTATAATATTTGATTGTGTCTCTTATGCAACAGTTGAGTGATTATATACTACGTCATTTCGATTTTATACAGTCTATTTTCGTACTAGATGATTTAGATAATGCACATAAACTTGACAAACGAGGAATGACAAATGTTGATTGGGGAAGTAAATACAACGAGAGTTAAAAGGAAGATGGTTGGTAGCATATAAAGAAGCTGAGGAAACTTTGGCTTTGGGAAACAGTTTAGGGATCCAAATAATCAGTGATGAATTAGAGATAGTGAAGGAATTAGAATCGTTAGAAATGTTCTGAAGCTGGTCTGATCCGTGTCAGTATCCATTTCAGATAGCAGTTCGTCGATTACAACACCATTACCAAGCAACTAAATTCTTAATTACAACACCATTACCAAGATTTCGATTGTCAAACCCCAAAGCTCGACACCATTTCCAAGATTCCGACACACCAAAACGATTTGATCCATAAGCAATTTGGAACAGAATTATTGCAATCGTACCACCATGTTTTTCTTACCACCCTAATAACAATCGTACAAGACAAAAACATTAAGGGGTGTTTGGTTCGAGGATTGTGAGATTCTCATAGGATGGGAATCCCACATTCCCATGTTTGGTTGGCCGGGAATCTTATTCCCGGTAATGTTTTATTACCAATAGTAGATTTTTTGGGATATATTACCGGGAATGTCATTACCTCCATTCCCTTAGGTATTGTAACATTACCGGCGTTTTGGACTAAAATGCCCTTAAATTATTATTTTTTTTCAAAAATATCATTCTTCTATCATTGAATAATAAAAATTATACGAAGGTTAAATTACAAATTTATCCTTAAATTATTTTAGATTTACAAAAAAAATCTATAATTAAAATTTTATATGAAATTCAGGGATTAAATTTTTTTTACCCTTTCATTAAACCTTTTTTATATTTTTAATTTTGTAAAAAAATTATATAAATATTATGAATTTAATTTTTTAAAGAAAATATATAAATATTTTACAATTTGTAATATTATACAAATATATAATAAGGACAATTTGGTCAAATATACATTCAAATAATCTTTTATTCCTTTAACCAAACACGGTAATCTTACATTCCTGCTAAACCAACCAAACACAAAATACAACATTCTCAGTAATCTTATTCCCTGGTAATCTTTTATTCACACTGGTAATCTTACATTCTGTGAACCAAACGCACCCTAAGTTTAGAAACCGAGGGTGGGGCTATATAATTAAACTTATTGTATGGTCTCTTTTTGACAGATAACTTTATTCAATTTTGGATAGAACACACACATTAATATTAGAAACCAAACACGAGATTAAAGACAACAAGTTGTGGTTCAAATCTAATCAGACATAAATAAATAAATAAATAAATAAATAAAAACCTGATTCAATACACATAACAAGAGTTTTAAAGCAGTACAGGTACTAATTTCAGTAGAGTTATAGTTTACCTGAAAATTTGTCCATGTACGTGTTGTTTATTACATGGGGCCATTGCCCTAACTATAATCGAAGACTTAATTTTAATATGAAATAAAATTTCAAAGCAATTTTATAATCAGTGGGAACAAATGCCCATTTATGAAGTGGTGTGGGGGTGGGTATCCTTTATTAAGGGTATTTAAGATGGTGTGTCTGAATATAGTTCATCTTTTCCCAGTGGAATTTAATTGCTGTGTACTTAAATTTATTGGTCATTGCCCCCATTTAGATTTAATCTTGGATCTCCCCACTACGTTGAAAATCTTTGCTATTAAGTATTAGCAATTACACTATCTACCTATAACCTAACAATATATCATAAACTTATTATTTTCCTATTTATTTACTGTAAATCACTAGAAAACATAGGATTCTATAAACTGTCAAGTTGGCCCTTTTTTTCCCATACATGGGCACGTCTATTGATGACTTGGGGCAGCCTTCTTTTTATTCTTTTCACCCATTTCTAAATTGGTCGGGCATATTAATATCCACGGTGGTTGATAATATGGTAAATTGATGTTACGAAATTGTACAACATTCAACGTAAGTGCATGTGATGTATATCAAGTAATAAAATGAAAACTACAAGAGTTTCGAATGTCAAACCCACAAAGAATAAGGAATTATAGTTTAGAATTGTTGATTCTTTACAAAAAGATAAGTTTAAAATGAAATAGTGATAGGTTTATAGCAAAGGTACAAATTCATAATATTAATGGCAATGAATGCAACAACAACCCGAGAGCAAATAGACCACTAGACCAGTAAATGTTGTTGTCATTTGGCAGTTAACAATATGATTATGTTGTGACAATATTGTTATGCATCATGTAACGATTAACACATTAATCCCCTTTCAAATATGAAACACTTAACCAATGAGAATTAATTTTCACCAACTCCATCAATCAAGTAGTTAATAAAGCAACGACAATCGGTAGCATATACCTCCATATACTTAAATTCACTTTTGCAAATATTGATGTTGTATATGTTGGTTTTTGGCAAAAGTCCCACATTGGTTGTGTATAAGGAGGAGGGGAAATTCTTTTGTTATAAATAAAGCCCTCCTCCTCCTTAGTTAATCATCCCACAAATATAAGCCTTCTTCTATTTTAAAGGCTATTTGTATTCTTTTTTCTCTTTGTAATATTTCCTCTATTAGTGAGATATTTTGGTGTTCTCTTTTATGTCTATTTAATAGCTATTGTCGGGTATAGTTGTTGTCAGTTATTGTCCTATTAAAATTACTTGTCTTGGTAGTTCTGTCTAAGGAAAGTGTGTTTTAAGAGGGACCATTGTGACCCCTCCTCTTTCCTGGGAATCTACCTTGGGGTGATTTTTAGTACAATCGTTTTCACACTAGTCACCTAGATAATAGTTTTCAAGGTGAATCTGTTATTGGTGGAAATTAACCCGAATTTCACAACAATTGGTATCAGAGCTCTTGGTTTATTTTAGTATGCTCTGTGGTTGCGGCTTAGGCTGATCTTCCACATCAGAAAAATTTCATTGGGATAATTGACATTCTGCATTGGCAGCTATTAAATAGAATTTGTAGCAGAAATGGCAGACGCTTCTTCATCTTCAATTTTGGCAAGAAATGCTGTGACAAATGTTAGATTTGCAGTGGAGATTTTTGATGGCACCGGTCATTTCGGCATGTGGCAAAGCGAGGTTCTAGATGCCCTATTTCAGCAGGGTCTAGACATTGCTATTGAAGGAGAGAAACCAGATGATGTTGAGGAGAAAGAATGGAAGAGGATCAATAGAATGGCATGTGGTACTATTCGATCGTGTCTTTCTAGAGAGCAGAAGTATGCATTTTCTAAGGAAACTTCTGCAAGTAAATTGTGGAAGGCACTGGAGGAGAAATTTTTGAAGAAAAGCGGTCAGAACAAACTCTACATGAAAAAGAGACTGTTCCGCTTCAACTATGTACCAGGTACCACTATGAATGATCACATTACTAGCTTTAATCAGCTGGTGACTGATCTGATGAATATGGACGTGACTTTTGAAGACGAAGATCTGGTTCTGATGTTGATGGGATCACTTCCTGATGAGTTTGGGTATCTTGAAACTACTCTACTTCATGGGAAGGTTGATGTGTCTCTCAGTGAAGTAACTGCTGCCTTGTATAGTTATGAATTGAGAAAGAAAGACAAACAAGAAAACACAAGTGTCGAAGCAGAAGCTCTTGTTGTTAGAGGCCGTTCCAAGAGTCAGAATAAAGGAAGCAGAGGGAGATCGAAGTCAAAGTCCAGATTGAGCAAAGATGAATGTGCCTTTTGTCGAGAAAAAGGGCACTGGAAGAAAGAATGTCCCAGGCTAAAGAATAAAGGCAAACCTGAAAGGGGGAAGGCTGTCTCAGAATCAAATGTGGTCGAGTATGATGATGGAGATTCAGATTTCGCATTCGCTGCTACGCCATCAACCAGCTGTTCCAGTTCATGGCTGTTAGATTCAGCTTGTAGCCACCATATGACCCCCAATAGAGAATGGTTCTTTGATTTTAAAGAACTAAAAGGTGGAATTATCTACACAGCAAATAATTCCCCTCTTGACACACTTGGGATTGGTTCAATTCGCTTGAGGAATCAGGATAGATCAATCAAAACCTTAACAGGAGTCCATTATGTACCAGATTTAATGAGAAATCTCATCTCTGTGGGAACCTTAGAGTCAAAAGGTTTAGAAGTGAGGGAAAAGATGGGATTATGAGGATTATCTCTGGTGCACTGGTGATAATGAAGGGAATCCGAAAAGAAACAATGTGTATTACTTTCTGGGTAGTACAATTGTTGGGACAGCATCAGTGGCAGCTTCTACTGATGAACTGGAGTCAGAAGCAACCAGGTTATGGCATATGCGCTTGGGGCATGTTGGTGAAAAATCCTTGAAATTACTGATAGATCAAGGATTATTGAAGGGTGCTCGGGCTTGCAAATTAGCTTTTTGTGAGCATTGCATCAAAGGGAAGAAGACGAGGGTGAAATTTGGAACAGCAATCCATGATACTAAAGGTAT